GAAAATTATATCCTTAATGACATACGTGTAAAGTTTTCCTTGCAGGAGAAACGGATGCAGAAGAAAAAGGAACTTGAACAGCAATCACTTGACCAAATTTGGTATTGTTTAATACTCTCCATAAATCGATTTTGAAGTTCACTATTCAAAAAGTGGTCGTAGCTCGTAGTTGAACAGATCGGGTTGAAAGCAAGTGCCCGTTGTTAATTCGAATTCTCATTGTTGAGTGTTAAGATTCCGTGCTTTCACCAGAATTTTATCCACAAGATGTACTGTGATGAATTTTGATGTATACTACTACTAAATCACATTCAATATGCTGAAATTATCGCATGCGAAAAAGAAATAGAATCTCTGTGGCTTTAAGGACACTTAAAATGAGCACAAAACACAATGGTTACAGGGAGAACAAACCGAAGGGTTTGAGTGCCTATCTGACCCTGTCAAAGCAACTCAAGAACTCAGTGGTAACACTTCCCGAGTCGGGTGGTTATCGTCAGTATGTCCTTTCGAAGGAGTCGAAAAGCAATCGACGTCGGTATTATCGTTGCACTAATTGTCATAAACTGAAGAGCAAGACAGGTTATGGTCCTATAGCAAACATACATGTACAAGACGGAGTTGTCATCAGAGGTAAATCATCAGCACATCATCCTGACTGTAAGGCGCTCAGTGAAACTGATATTATCGCTATGCAAATGGATCGACAATCACGAAGAGAGATTCTAGAAGGCAAAGATCCATATGATGCTTATCGAAAGGTTGGTTCATCAAACTGCCAGACGTAATTACCACATATACCCACAATAAATTCATCTAGGTGAGCAGCTGTGGAACTCATCTTCTCACCGTTTATCAATTTCTCGGAGGATATAATAGTTGAATACTGAAAAAATAAATCCTTATTGTGAGTGTCTGACTTCATTCTGGAAAAAAACCAATAATGAATTTAAAACGGACTTCAATTTTAGAATTTCGAGAAAGCAATGGAACTAGCCGCGACGTTTGATGAGAGTAACAGTAACAGTAAAAAGTTCAACATTGCAACCGCATATCCCTCATGGCATAGCGTTTGTAAAAAGTACAAACGTTTACGACACGATCGGTATGGAG